ATGGCAACATATGTATAAATGTGCTTACCATAATGGATGCATGTATGGATTGTGATAAGAGCTGTAAGAGCCCCCAATAAAATTATTTTTTTAAAAATTGCCTATGAAGGTGAGATAGCACCTTGTGCTATGTCCCCCAGACTCAGTCACGGAGACTAGACTAGAGGGGCTGTAAGGCCCCATCCAAATATTTTATTCTTTATAGATTCCCTTACACACCAGCCCTCTTATTAATTCAAACTTTGACTGGAATGTATTCATCCAAATACTGAGTCCAGGGTGACTATAAGGAGCCCTGGTGGAGCAGTGGGCTATACATTGAGCTGCTAACCACGCAGGCCAAAGGTTTGAACTCAAGAATTGTTCTACAGGAGAAAAATAAGGCTATTTCTGTAAAGACTTTAAAGTCTCAGAAACCCAAAGGGATTGGTATGAGCCATAAGTAACTCAATAGCAGTGTATTTGGCATTTTGGTTTAGAGTTGCTATGTGGTCCTTCCTAGTGGCAGTTTGGTTGGGCAAGATTGGCAGTTCAAGGCCACCGGCTACTATTTGGGAGAAAGATGAGGCTGTCTGATCCCAAAGATTTGCAGTCTTAGAAACCCTATATTGAGTTACTATACATCCAAATCAACTTGACAGCAATGGGCGTGGCTTTTTGGTTTTAATATGTGCATGGCACTATTTTAAGCCGCCTTGATTTTGACCATTAGGTACCCTGTTTAGGGTTTCCAAGGCTACTTCTTTAAGGAGCAAAGTCTCACTTTTCTCCCAAGCAGCGGAGGAACTGCTCACCTTGCATTAAAAAAACCCCTGCTCAGCAGCCCAATGCCTAGCGTGCGGCATCGTCAAGGCTCCTCTTCTTACTCACACATCTAATAAAATCAATGTCCTTCACTGTTATGGATGTCTTCGAGATTCATCTGTCCCATCTTTACACCTCCGCTGCCTAGCCCCATCGTCAGTGCTCAAGGAACAGTGAATTAGCGTTACTTTATTTATGAGTTTATACTGGCCTACATAAAGCTCCAACATTTCACAAAATTCCGAACGTGCGCATTGTTCTCCCATGCAATTCGGATCGCCTAAACCAGCTGTCAATTTACGAAAACCACCAATAACCCCTCAAACTACCACTTATTTGCTGCCTGTGGACATAATTGCCCACACTTCGTTCCACTACTGTGGTCTTTCCGTCTATTTTATTAAGCAGATACTATCATTTTTATGAAGTGCGTCCTTCATGGCTAAGTCTAACTTTTGGCTCCAGTACCCCGAACGCGACTCATCTGTAATCCACAGACATCCAACG